AGGAGAGGTACGTCATCACCTCTAATAGAAAGTGTTGACCAAAATAGTAGCCAAGAGCCATCTTTGAGTTTCTTCAGGTGTCTTTCTTGATAAATTACTTTGTTTTTCCATCATGTCCCATCTTTCCATATCTAACACTTACTCATGAAAAACTTGATGTAACTATGATTGAATCAGACATCTATCGCAGGTAAATGAGAGAGGCTTTACTCTCTCTTGCTGTATTTTCAGTGCCTCTGGGTGAATTGCGTGAAATCAAATTATGCAATGGAGACTGAATTTAAGGAGAACGCATCCAAAAACACATACACCCTTTCTTCCTGTCCTCCCTCTCTATTCGGGGTATCACAGAGAGGTTCTCAATGCGAGGCACCGCTTTCTTCCACCGGACAAACAAAGCACTCCCTGTTCGCAGCCTCTTAGCAGCCACTTCACACGCAGCACAAGGTGGAAGCCCCGCTAGCTACTCTATTCTCCCTTTAGACCTTCCGCCTGAATACTGCAAAGAGATTGTAAATGGCAATGACAGCAGGGAAGGTGACACGCCAACAAACACCCAGAGGAACACATTGAAACATTTATGTAAGTTATACTGCAGCAGGACACTGATATCCACTGAATAACAACAAGTAATTTGGGTACGATCAAATGTAGCAGAGACTAAATTATTAAAAAATGTTGTAAATATAAAGACATCACATTTATGTTTTCTGATCCGCTACAAATGAGCCGAGCTTCATCTTCTGTGTCCACCTGCTTCATATCGAGCCTGCAGAAAGCACAATATTTTGTCTGACAGGATGGTCACACTGTCGATTGAGTCAAAAACAAGTCATAATTTCTTGCTGTGCCTTGGCAGAGACAGCACAAACTACAAGTTGGTCGCTGGCCAGTCATAGCTTGGCATTTCTCAAGACTCATGATGAAGAAGGGACCAAGTACTGGAAACAAGAAGGCCAACAGATAAGGGCACAGACAGCTGTCTCGAGTTTGGAAAAAGAAAGAAACGGGAAAAATGAAGCAGGGATTGCCTGATTTCTTCTTTGGACTCCTATTGTACGACATCACAAACACATGGTGGAAATTTTTACAACACATAAAAGAACTTTCATGTGCCATACGGAGCACCCTACAGTTTTCTAATTTTTCAAAACAGAACCCATTAGTCACTCGTATGCACCCCAGCACAAAGGTAAACAACATGAATGTGCTATATTCCAGACGGAGAGATGCCATCACAAAGCAGACACACCCTGACCAGAGTGAATCCCTCCTAACTGTGGGCAAACCAAAGAAAGCTGCCATGACGCCAGCACACGTCTCACCACAGGCACTGACTGTACTCTGAGGCATCTCTAGCTTTGAGCAGGAACTGGTACAGGCTTATGATACTGACAAAAATTGATTATAGGGAGAATTATAGGACTCATCCAGCGCACGCAACAGCGTGTTCATCATATTTCAGAGGCAAATGAGGAAATTTCCCCCGCAAGTTACAGGCTTTCCTCTCCATTAACCATTCAGCAGAATGCAACAGTGGCCTTTAGGGCTTCCGCTAATCTCATATCCATGAGCTGTGAGGGCATCACGATAATGATCCACCTCTGAACACGACAGCAGAGAGCTATAACAAACCCACAGTGTGCAGAGCTCACACAGCCCTCCCTTTTTGTTATTAAAAACAGAGATACGCTTCATAATGGCTAACTCATTAAGACCTCTGCTCTCACTTATTCATAAAAACAACCAGGCAGAGAAGAAGGCGTAATGAATGAAAAGGATATTAAGCACTGTGGCTTATGTTTGGCAACAAGACAAAGCTGCTAAATCCTTTACATTTCCAGAGACCAATTATATATATATATATTTTAAAAAAAAAGGCAGCAGAGTGTTATTCCTGTAGCTACAAAGGCTGTCAGCTGGGGAAAATAATAGTTTGAAGTAGATATGCACCAACTGGTCACTGGCTTTTCAGCTAATTAGCCTTGACCTCTGACCAGCCTTCCTATCATAATAATAGAGTACTGTGTAAAAACTTTGGCCTGCTGATCATCTCTTATTTTGCTTCCAAAGAGTCACGCTTTTGTGAAACTTTATTGCTCAATGATTTTGAGCAACAGTTCCCCGGGCTTTCTTAAGGTTTTTCAACAGGGAGATTCCCAAAGAGCTATTAGCTAAAACATCAAATCTTGGTATGATGTGCAGTGTGTCGTTCAAGAGTTTGACAAAAAGAGCAAAAATAGCACTACCAGTAGCACTACTAGCACTACCAAAAATAGATGGCTCCATGAAGGCTGCAGAAACAAGCATAACCACCTGACCAGAGTACTGTAAAACATGCCAACTGGCTAACATAAGCCACACTCATCAAATTAATTTAGCTTTTGGAATAAGTGCAATGCATCTATCTGCCATTTAAAATCAATTTCATTTACATAACAATGTGATATTAAATGGTTTTACGTTGCTTTTGAGTACACACCTTTGATTTCTACCACTGTGGTCAGAGTTGGCCATTTTCTTCGACACTGGATGTAGGCGTTAGTCTGACATTTATTCTCAAATTCAAGTGATTAGGAAATAAGTTCCTTTAAAATTAGAAGCTTTACAAGAAGGTACAACATGTTGGGTAAGTCACATTTACAATGTGAATTCTGTCCAGTAACATGGAGCACTTTATTCCAACATCTATCCAAGTGTGTGATTAAATGAAAAAAAAGGTATAATCAGGTGTAGCTGTGGAAAATATTTTTATTGTTCAATTTTTTATAAACAATGCAAATTTATATTTCTTAGAAAGCAAAATCAGAATCAGCCAAGGAAAGTGGCATTTGGTGCATCAATGCTCTTTTGGTGCTCTTGCTTTATTATTATAATTTTTTTTTTTACATAAATGATAAAGATATAAAGATAAAGATAAATATAAAGATAAGCATAATGAGGGGAAACCTGGCTGTCAGCTGACCTAAAGTGACACTATTTAGTCATCTTAGAGGCTTCTCCATGGCTACACACTGTGCACAACATTGAGTTTAAATATAGCAAAGGAAGTCTGGAATTTCCCACGACAAGATACGAGACCATGGAAACAAAGTCAAATAGTGTAAACTAAGCGGAGTGTTTAGTGCACGGCCTTCTTTGCTGATCTGAAACAACGTGTCGAGCTGTCTTTCAAATATTTTTAGATGTAGCTCAGGGGGTTGTCATGGAGACTGAGGCAGGCAGTGGTGTCACAGTGACCTTGGTATCAGCTGAAGGCTGTTTGTCAGGATACTGACTCAAAACTTAGTAAAAGTAAATTTGTCTTTTTGGGAGTCTCTCTCCGCTTTCTTTGCTCATCATCAGTCATCGTCTGTTCCTTTCCCTCACAAACCCTCCGGCGTCGCCAATGATCTTTTCCACCACCAGACTAAAAATGTGACCTTCAGGACGTCTTGTTATCAAGAAAAAGCAGGGAAAACTAAATCAAAGGAACTAGAGCCTCCAGTCGTCATCCAACCACTCCAAGTATAGTCATTTTAACACAAATTTTGGCGTGCTCAGGGTGTGGTGAATCTCTCCCAGTTCTAATCTATGAGATGCCACATGGCTGGAGTTCTTTGTTTGATTTGTCTGAGCTCTTAATGCCTTCATTGGATGAGCGGCTGGATTTACCTGCACATGGCAAAACCCTCACCCTGCAGAGAGGAACGGCTACAGGAGTGAGCTACTGTATGTGTTAGCAATGTGGTTAAAGTCATTTAACAAAAGCGTTTAACAGTTAGGCTGCTAAAATACTGAACACTATCAATAAGTAAAAGAGTGAGCTACTTACTCTCAAGTATAAAATCAATATAATTTTAAAAGTCTCTGATCAATTGAACCACATTCATAATGAACTACATAATGCAATTTCAGGTTGATATTTTCCCAGAGAAAAACTTCCATCATCTCTTTTTTCCCCTCATGTCAGTCCTGAGGATACAAACCTCGTGTTTGCAAAAGCTTTATTGGAACTGGCACTGAACAAAAGTGACCAGGGGCTTCGTATCGAAGGCTCCAGTCGCACAGGCCTAGAGGCTGCAATCGCCTGGCAACCATCGGTTGCTAAAACTGAGTATTTGCCATCAGTTGTAGGTTGCTGGCAGTTGCTGTGAAATTGCTTGCTCAAGCCAAACTTGCTCTGACCTACAGATCTGCCAATGACCCACTGGTAACCACTAGGGAAAAACATGTATTGCTCAACATGTTGGTGAGTGGTTGTGGGTACGTTGCTGGCATTTCTTTGGCGAGTAAAGTGCAGTCACCGAATCTTTGTGTGGAAGACGCCGGCTTGTCTGCAAACACTTGCAAACGACTTGCTAAGTAGTAAAGAAACCGAAGAGGACGGAGAACATTTGTTTTCAAACTTTTACATTTCAGCTGTAAAGTATGTGATGCAAAGTTTTGCGTACTTTAAAAAGCACATCTAGGACAGGATTCATTTTGCTTGGGCAATAAACAGCGTGATGTGTGGTTTTGTTTCTTGCAACATGCCCGTTTCTACACAAGCTAAAATCTAAAAAACAAATAAAGTAAACAGCATTAAATAGACTTCTGACAGTTTGTGACTGACAGAAAAGTTTTTCTTTAAATAGGCGACAGAATAAAGCTTTCAAATGCTGTTATTTTAGCTTATTTATTTAAAAAAACAAAAGTAATATGCTGTGGATGAATGGATTACAACCAGCTATGACAAATCTAACCCTGTGTTTTGAGGATGTTGATGGCTGTTGGGGGAACTGTTTCATCATTTTTATGCTTCTCAACCACGCTGACATAAAATAAAAACAAGCAGACCACCAGTCAGGACTTGAGTAAGACTGATAAACCAATAAAGGGAACCATGGATGCTACCGTTTCATGCTGTGACTTAAAATAACCGAGTCTGTGTGAAAGTGAGAGGAGAAGTGGAAAGCGTGGGGCAGCGATCTTCACAGCTGCTTGGTCTGTGGCCAGGAGTTTCTGTGTGTATTTCTGACCTGAGAGATGTGGTTGATGGAAGACTCCATGCGCCGCAGCTGCGAGGCCTGGATGTCCAGCAGCTGCAGCACATTGTTGGCTAAGGCATTAATCTGGTAGGCCACGCTAGCCAGGGACTGGGTGGTGTAGGCTTTGGTTTCCTCCAGAGCTTTCCTCTTGTCCTGGGCCTGTGCACAGAAATAAAAATGTCAGTTACTATTAAAATTGACATAACATCCACCTTTTAACCTCATCTACAAGTCAGGTTTGTGCTGGCTTCAGGCCAAAAACACTGCAAAGACCATTTTCTCTCCAACTCTCAGTTCTGAGATACCACACTGTAACGGATCCTGAAGCCACCATTCAAGAGCAAAATATCCGCTTTTCTAAACTGCTTCACAGAACTGAACCTGACAGATTCAACACAATAATTCATTCGTATTATCAATAATAAAGCACAGCGTTGATAGCAACAGTTCACGATCAGATAACAGCCACACCTCTGCTAATTCACATCTAGTTTAAGTAGGAAACTTTGCAACGTTATCTTACGTGCAGTTTTATTGTCCCCTTCTGTCTTCTCTTGTTTCTATTAATCTAGTTTTTCCTTTTTATATTTTTTTGTTTGCACCCTTTTAAAAAGCTTTCCAATTATTCTGTTTGGCTCTCCATGTGAATTTACAACATGAATACTCTTCTTTTTATCTATCCAATCACTTTTTTAAAAAGGTGCTACACAATTAAAGTACATTTTTATATATCATCATGTCAAAAAACACCTAGTATCATATTTTTTGGTATAATCAAGCATGTCTGTGTGGCCTATAACCGGCCCACTCGACATATATGAAGCTAAACATTTACATGTATGCAGCAATGTATTCAGTAACAATTTAACGACATGTTGTTCAGCCACCTCCCTTCAGACGGGCATAGCTCCAAGCTGATGAGCTGTTGTGTTTGATCTCTGTGGGCTCTTCCCTACACTGCTCTCAGTCACCAAGTCCAAAGAGCACTGCCTGGAGGGTAAACGCTGGGCTTTGATAACAGGGTGCTGTAATAGAAGACAGGTGGTGGCAGCAGTGGGTGAGGTGATGATAGCTAATGGTAGCATTAAGGGGGCAAAACAGGGGGGAAAAAAAAATTTGACCATATGAAGACAAGAGAGGTGACAGTGCAAAAGAAAACAAACGATCAACGCAACTAATACACAAACTGTCCATATGGCTGGCTAAAAGCTCCTGACCAGGAGAGCTGCAGCACCGGCTTTTCCACGGCCGGTGTTTCTTTTAGCGGGAATCAAAGCGGCAGATGTGTTGGGCGATAACAGCCTCAGGAAGCAGGAAAGATTCCTCCAGAGGGTTCAGTGCAAAAGGCCATCTGTTGAAATCACACACTCGTTCATGCGTGCACACAGACACCTACCACTGACGCCGCAATATGCAATGTGGTGCGTGGATTAACAGCTGGAGGGAAACAGATGAAACAACAACCGCAAACAAACAAACAAACAAACAAACAAACAAACAAACCAGCCTTTACATCCATGATAGCAATTTCCAAATTGCAAGAGGATGCAGATTTTTGCTGTATAAACAGATTAGTGAACAGCTCGTGCTTAGCTGTGCAGAACTGCTGGCCTACATATCACGCCACAAGTTAGTTTAAAATAAATAAACACGGCCCCGAAGAGACGTTGTGCAAGATCCATTCATTATAGATATACAGACTGCAAATGCAAATATGTTGTTTGCAATGCTGTTATAACTAAAAAAAACTGCATGATTATGTTGTTTTTGTTAATGCACTGCAGCTGTGAACAGCACAGACAACCAGGCCCATTGATGTTTCGGATCACAAACGCTCAAGTGTGATGTGTAAACTCTACTGTCTCCATTTCTGTCAGACATACAAATTCATTCAAGGTTGCCAAAGCTTAAATCCAAAGAAAAGAAAACAACGTGATGCTGTTTGGGCTGCATTCTCGAACGGCTGCAGTGCAAAACGCTCCAAAACATGCACGATCGTCCGTCCTGCTGACTCAAAGTTTCCCGCGGTGTTAAGTACAGAACATGTAAGCTGATGACAGCACAAATTAACCAGTCTGTATCACTTTGAAATTGAAGGTGCAAGGCCAGGAATTAGTGCACCACAGGCTGCCCTTCGCTGCTGTTTCCTCTCCTTTGAGACGCAGCCGCTACAACGACTTGTGCGTCAAGAAAGCTGACATGACGAAGCAAATAGGCCAGGCTGATCTTTCCTGGTTTACACGAAGGTAAATGTTTTACCTGCACATTAATCAAAAACTGACACTCTCAGTGAGCTGCACAGCCCGCTTTTCAGCTATTTCACTATATATTTCCCAAATAGTTAAATAACAGATCCCTCTTTGCCCTCTATTCTTCTTTTTCTGAACAGAATGATTCACTCTGCATTAGCTGCCAGAGCCGTGATATGAGGTCAGCGGTGGGTGCCGGGAGGACAGATGCAACACTTGATTGCATCGCCACTGGCGGCAATCTTAGATCCTCCTGCTCTAGTTACATCCCTGGCATCCCTAGTCCCTTTGCTGGTTCACGCATCAAATCCTCAAAACCAACCAGATTTGTTGTCCAATTACCCAGCAATCTGCACATTTCTTCAAAAAAAAGACAATGGGAGAGATGTAGTAGATCCTAAAAAATTAGAACAAACAGCGCTTTAGCAGACAAGGAACAAAGGGTGTGCACAATCAGCTCAAAACAACAGCACCGGCAAGCTGAGTACACTCTTCCACGGCAGGGAGATGCAGAGAATGAGGTGGGCTCTGAGAGAGCTTTAGCGCTCCTGGGGCACTTTATCTCATATTTCTGAGCTGAGTAATGACTGAATGAAAGAGACTATGGAATATCCAGGCAGCAGCAGACAGGCTGTCAGCACCTGAGCTGGGTTTATAAGGGGAGTAGAGAGGAATGCGCGGGCTGACTACGCACAATAAATATGTAGCTGGGAGCTGGGGCAAGCGAGATAATCAACCCTACTCTGACAGCATAAAACACAAACACACAGAGTGACAATTCTTCAAAAACCCAAAATAATTGAATGCTGCACGTACTCAAGCTGAAAAAACTCACAAAAAGATAAAGGAGTGGCAGTCACAAGAAAGGCTTTCCTGTTTTCTGCAGGGTTTTTTGAAGCTCTTGGAAGGATAGACACTCTTCATCTCACCCATCCAGTCTGGCAAGATAACGGCCACTGAAGCGCAATCGAGTTTCTGGTTTTTTTTTCTTAAACAAGACGCCTCCATGTCAGGCTCTGCTGGCTGCATTAAGTGCCGTAAAAAGGAAAAACTCCTCGGGGTCAGACGGGTTCCTGCTTCCGTTCCGCCCAAAAGCAGTAGCAGAAGTAGGAAATGGACAAAATGAGTATTCCTCCTGATGATCTAACACGACTAAAAGAGGACTCAAGGAACTGAGACCAAATGTCTGTTTCACTGAATCATCCAGAAATTAGGAACATGACAAAAAAAAAAAAAAAAAAAAACCCCACAAAGGGTTCAGTGGTGGGATACATTTGTTGGTGTTGCAGCAAATGCTAGAACTTGCATAAACATTTCTGCTTCTTTTGATTTACACAGCTGACAAACCCATCTGGGTTAATGCGCTCTCACTTGTTCACAAGTGTGCTCAGCACACACACACAAAAAAATTAATCCCACACACTTTCAGGAATGTTTGGAATTCCGCAACATATCATACATCCTCAAGAGCTGCTGAGGGGTTTCGCCATGAACCACAAGTGTGGGGGATGAGCTCGCAGAAGCCAAAAACAAACACAATGGGACAGAAGTACAGAGCTTTTTTTTCCTTATCTATAATCTTCAGACTGAACATGAGGAAAAACTAATCCTAGATATTAGGCCTGACAACTCCTGCAACTTTGTCTAAAGGAAGAAAACCTTAGCAGGGATCAATCCTCTTCCCAAAGCAGTACTGTGCTGAGCTGAAAGAATGAGCCTAAATCCAGCTGGAAGGTTGTAGAGCTCACATGGCACTTTGCTGCCCAGTGATGTATCGACCGCTGATTACTGCAGACTGGACGGGGCAAGATAAGTGAGGCAGCCGAGAGCTAGTGAGCCGTTGTATTGATGTGCGGAAGGTGGAGCCCATGAACGAGAGACACGTTTAAGATCTGACCACGTGTTACCAAAGCTATTACCTGATCAATTAGTTCCCTCTGCCATCGTGCAGCGATATATTACAGCTCAAACGGAAGGCAAAACTGTGATAGCAATCTGAGACCGAATGTAACTATGTCAGTACCACTAAAGTTAAAGGAAGACTGTCGTTTCCAGTTTGCTTCTGCTGTGATTTAACTTTGGTGGTGTCCGTCTGTACTGGGACTTCCCCACGCTTCCATCATATTTGCTAAGTAGATCAGCTGATATGGCTGAACTGTGGTTGAGCTTTACTTTGCAGCTAGCTTAAGACAATACCTTGCTTTCTGCTTCTTACCAGTCTAGTAACATGCATTTCAAGGCAATTACAGTCGTTGCTTTACATATGATGGAAATAAAGGTACTTTCGGTGCAGCAGGTATCTGACACAACCATGAAAGGACTTCACTCTGAACTAAAACCCCGGCTGACAAATGTGAGATTTTCTTGAACTGACTAGGTTTTCTGTTTGACTTCCTTGTTCTAAGGTTACATTGGAAACAATTTGCTGGTCACTTTGTTCCCTAGTTGACATTTACTGCTCTGGGTGCTGGTTACTGCCAATGTATTTACCATATGTCATATGTCAATCGACAGTATTCTTCCCTGTGGTTGGTAGTTGCTTCAGTTGCTTGGCTAAAATTTTTCGATGGCATCTTGTTGCCACATTGCTGCAAATTGCTTTCTGTGTGGACAACGCTAACAGTTAATCAATATATCTCCAAGTTATTATTATTCCCAATTTACCAGTTACGAATGAGAAAATCCAAACTTCATTGGGCGTTCAATTCGCTACCATACACCTCTAAGAAAACCCATCAGATATTTATATTGGAGAGGCTGCTACCACTAACTTTGGGGTATTTGTCCTTTAAAAACTGACTTCAGAAATGATCAAGTATCAGTCTGGGAGCCCATCAACTGATCTCCTATTTTAGCCTCTCAGAGGAACAGCTAATTTCTTGGGGTTTTCAAAAGTTACCCAAGCAAGAT